CTTGCACATAGGCCTGGCACTGCAGAGGCTACAAATCGCCACTACGACTCTGAATGGAAGTCGAGTGCCGCGACGAATCCTAAAAGGGTATTGTTCAACGCCGGAGCTGACAAAGTCTTTTTAAGCGATACATATACACCTCTGCAATAGTTCTTGTGCACCATCAGTTGAGCTTATTCTCAAACCTTGATAATCCTTTGTTCCCTTTTCTTCCACCTACCAAAAGGCATCCAGAATATTCTCTCTCTGCCTATTTTAAACTGGGTCGTAACTATCTAGAAAACCGGGATCAGGCAGGATTCACCTTTACTGGCCTCCGCGTGCACGGTTTGCAGTATTCTCGGGCATCTACTTTTTTTTTGAGAGGGATTTAAAGATTCGCAGCGATTTCCGCCACAATGACTTTGCATCATCCTTTGAGAAGGTCCTGTGAAAGTGGGATGACCTCACAAACATTTCAAATGATGCAAATATATGAGGCTGAACAAGGTGCAAGTACAAACTTGGTTCCTTCAATAATCATGTCAGCCTGCTAAGGTTTTGGAGTCCGACCATTCTAGCGCCTTTATCGACCACTAATCGTTCCATTCTTGGGAACCATCAATTACAAGTGAATTCCAGCCGCATATTCAAATATATCAACAAAACTGACGGGGTGGTCGCTGTGCAGCACGTTCATATTTTCAAAAGGTCCCTTCGGTTCTTTTGCTAGACGTTTTTCGAGCTTGAAATATCAGCGGACCTATAATTCCGAAACGCTTTTTGCGTGCTCATAAAAAAACATGATCCCTCTATGATCGATAACGTTTGAAAGTCAACAGTAGTGACCAGAATTTTATGAACGAACGGTATCAACAAACGGTTTTTGGAATTTTTCCTCATTAATTCAATTGATCGTTCCCTAACTTGCGCCGGTTACTTCCTTTGTGTTCTCTCATTCTCCGAAAAAAAAAATCGGTAATAAACTCTAACCAGGCCTAAGAAATTGTCGATTTCTCGATTTTATCGGACTAAGCGAAAAGTTATGCGATCAGTTTATTCGAACAAAAGAGACATAACAATTTTCGAAAACCAATGTAACTTAACAGCAACAAACAAGCAGAACTGGTACTTTCTTGCAACCCCCTTGGCATCCACAACAGCCTGACACCGTC